AAGAATTTTCGGATGTATATTAGATAGAAGGATCATTCAAGCGTTACGAACATATGTATGCATGTACACACACAGTTTGTGTAAGCTGGTCAGAACTACATCTATGTAAACATACATTAATCACATTATGTAGAAAAAAGACATACCTCAAACGTTATTTATGTCGGAGAGACGTAAATCAATATATGTATGTAGACTAGATTAGCATTTTAAAAGCACTACAATCACCTTCTGTGGTTGATTGTTCAATAAATCATTGAACTATATATTTTACAGATCTCTAATCCTGTCCATGGAGGACAGAAGAATATGTATATATGCTGGTTAGCATTGTAAATATGTGGCCACATCTGTGGTAGAAAATAACAATAATAATAATAATAATAATAATAATAATAAGAAGAAGAAGAAGAAGAAGAAGAAGAAGAAGAAGAATCAGCGTGTAAGCAGCCATACTGTTCTAAGCTCTGCCTGGGTATTATTCTGGTGAAACCTCTCAAGGTTGACTTTGATGGTGTAATATAATGCGATTATTAATAGATTGGTTTCAAAGTGAGGTTTATGTTCTTTAAACACATACGATACACTGAAGCACACACGATACACTGAAGCACATACGATACACTGAAGCACATACGATACACTGAAGCACACACGATACACTGAAGCACATACGATACACTGAAGCACACACGATACACTGAAGCACATACGATACACTTAAGGTGCCTCCAGATTTGTATTTAGTGATATTGTTAAAAATATTTACAAATATCATCGGTGAATTACAGGTGAAAGTCAGCGATGACTTAGAGGCGCGAGGCTAATTACCCCAGGACCCACAGGTGGCTGTTGGGGGGTAATAGTGGGGAAGTCTTGTTGCTCAAGAGGCTTAATTAACCTCCTGTAGTGTGTGTGTGTACTCGCCTATTTGTGCCTGCAGGATCGAGCATTGACTCCTGGATCCCGCCTTTCCAACCATCGGTTGTTCACAGTAATGACTCCGGTCCCATTTCCCTACCATGATTAATTTTAAAATTATGAATAAAGTTTGCTTCCACAACCTGCTCCTTAAGTGCATTCCAACGGACCAGCACTTAAAGAGCGTTGGTCCATTGGAATGGACCAACGGTGCGGCAAGTGCGCCTTGGACCACCACTTCACAGCCTGCACCAACCACTTTCTCCACAGCCATCACTGTCAAGGTGAACACACTGCCGTCTCCGCTGAGTGCTCCCGAAGACTTGCAGAAATCAACATGTCCGACGCCAGGCGGGTCAACACCACTCGCAGTGCACCAACAACTGTCAACGTGCAAGCCGCCCACTTCCCGGAGCTTCTGGGAGGTGCAGGAGGTACCATGCAGTCAGCCAGCCAATGGGGGCCTACCTCCCAGTCCGCCAACCAATCATCGACTCAGCCACAACCCCTCTCTGGCCAATCATCAAGCCAGCCTTTACCATACCAGTAGCTGGCCCCAACACCGTTCATAGTACCGTCTCTGAACTTACACGTCTGGCAGAAATTATGCAGGCACGAACTGTAAGGAATTCGTACGACTTCTAGACATACTCTACGCTGCTAATGGTCTACCGACGTTTAATGTTCCTGAGGAACTCCTCATGACTACAGCCTCAACCACTGCCACCACTACGACTTCAGCCACTAATACTACTTTAGCCTCTGACATCACCATCTCTCCAGATACACAGGCAGATCTCCTCCCTGCTGACGCCCACCCTCGGCCCCCTGCTACAGCTCCTGCACCACCTCCCCTGCTACAGCTCCTGTACCACCCCCCCTGCTACAGCTCCTGCACCACCTCCCCTGCTACAGCTCCTGCACCACCTCCCCTGCTACAGCTCCTGCACCACCTCCCCTGCTACAGCTCCTGCACCACCTCCCCTGCTACAGCTCCTGCACCACCTCCCCTGCTACAGCTCCTGCACCACCTCCCCTGCTACAGCTCCTGCACCACCTCCCCTGCTACAGCCCCTGCACCACCTCCCCTGCTACAGCTCCTGCACCACCTCCCCTGCTACAGCTCCTGCACCACCTCCCCTGCTACACCCCCTCCCCTGCTACAGCCCCTGCACCACCCCCCCTGCTACAGCTCCTGCACCACCTCCCCTGCTACACCCCTCCCCTGCTACACCCCCTGCACCACCTCCCCCTGCTACAGCTCCTGCACCACCTCCCCTGCTACAGCTCCTGCACCACCTCCCCTGCTACAGCTCCTGCACCACCTCCCCTGCTACAGCTCCTGCACCACCTCCCCTGCTACAGCTCCTGCACCACCTCCCCTGCTACAGCTCCTGCACCACCTCCCCTGCTACACCCCCTGCACCACCTCCCCTGCTACACCCCCTGCACCACCTCCCCTGCTACAGCTCCTGCACCACCTCCCCTGCTACAGCTCCTGCACCACCTCCCCTGCTACAGCTCCTGCACCACCTCCCCTGCTACAGCTCCTGCACCACCTCCCCTGCTACAGCTCCTGCACCACCTCCCCTGCTACACACCACCTCCCCTGCTACACACCTCCCCTGCTACAGCTCCTGCACCACCTCCCCTGCTACAGCTCCTGCACCACCTCCCCTGCTACACCCCTGCACCACCTGCTCCCCTGCTACACCTCCCCTGCTACACCCCCTGCACCACCTCCCCTGCTACAGCTCCTGCACCACCTCCCCTGCTACACCCCCTGCACCACCTCTGCACGCTGACACTCCAGGCGCTCCAATGCCTCCTCAACATGACGTCTCAACTGACTCATACAAACTTCTCCAGCACCAGCAAAAGCGTATTCGTCACCTGACCTCCGCTTCTTATCTGCCCATGATACTGCCTCTGTTGATGTTGAAGCTCGCTCACCCGAGGCCTCGACCCTCTCTGGAGGCCTGGAGCACCAGAACACAGGTGTTCCAGGCCTTATAGAGCACAGGTGTTCCAGGCCTTATAGAGCACAGGTGTTCCAGGCCTTATAGAGCACAGGTGTTCCAGGCCTTATAGAGCACAGGTGCTCCAGGCCTTATAGAGCACAGGTGTTCCAGGCCTTATAGAGCACAGGTGCTCCAGGCCTTATAGAGCACAGGTGCTCCAGGCCTTATAGAACACAGGTGCTCCAGGCCTTATAGAGCACAGGTGCTCCAGGCCTTATAGAGCACAGGTGCTCCAGGTCTTATAGAGCACAGGTGCTCCAGGTCTTATAGAGCACAGGTGCTCCAGGCCTTATAGAACACAGGTGCTCCAGGCCTTATAGAGCACAGGTGCTCCAGGCCTTCTAGAACACAGATGCTCCAGGTCTTATAGAACACAGATGCTCCAGGCCTTATAGAGCACAGGTGCTCCAGGCCTTATAGAGCACAGGTGCTCCAGGCCTTATAGAACACAGGTGCTCCAGGCCTTATAGAGCACAGGTGCTCCAGGTCTTATAGAGCACAGGTGCTCCAGGCCTTATAGAGCACAGGTGCCCCAGGCCTTATAGAGCACAGGTGCTCCAGGCCTTATAGAACACAGGTGCTCCAGGCCTTATAGAGCACAGGTGCTCCAGGTCTTATAGAGCACAGGTGCTCCAGGCCTTATAGAGCACAGGTGCTCCAGGCCTTATAGAGCACAGGTGCTCCAGGCCTTATAGAGCACAGGTGCTCCAGGCCTTATAAAACACAGGTGCTCCAGGCCTTATAGAGCACAGGTGCTCCTGGCCTTATAGAGCACAGGTGCTCCAGGCCTTATAAAACACAGGTGCTCCAGGCCTTATAGAGCACAGGTGCTCCAGACCTTATAGAGCACAGGTGCTCCAGGCCTTATAGAGCACAGGTGCTCCAGGCCTTATAGAGCACAGGTGCTCCAGGCCTTATAGAGCACAGGTGCTCCAGGCCTTATAGAGCACAGGTGCTCCAGGCCTTATAGAGCACCTGTGGTCTATAAGGATTAAGAAAAGGTACTGAACGGTAAACTTTGTGTATAAAGGAGCAAAGAATTGACCCTCCAGCGGGACCCTCCAGCGAGACCCTCCAGCGGGACTCTCCAGCGGGACCCTCCAGCGGGACCCTCCAGCGGGGACCCTCCAGCGGGACCCTCCAGCGGGACTCTCCAGCGGGACCCTCCAGCGGGACCCTCCAGCGGGACTCTCCAGCGGGACCCTCCAGCGGGGACCCTCCAGCGGGGACCCTCCAGCGGGGACCCTCCAGCGGGACCCTCCAGCGGGACCCTCCAGCGGGACCCTCCAGCGTGACCCTCCAGTGGGACCCTCCAGCGGGGACCCTCCAGCGGGACCCTCCAGCGGGGACCCTCCAGCGGGGACCCTCCAGCGGGACCCTCCAGCGGGACCCTCCAGCGGGACCCTCCAGCGGGGACCCTCCAGCGGGGACCCTCCAGCGGGACCCTCCAGCGGGACCCTCCAGCGGGACCCTCCAGCGGGACCCTCCAGCGGGACCTTCCAGTGGGACCCTCCAGCGGGACTCTCCAGCGGGACCCTCCAGCGGGACTCTCCAGCGGGACCCTCCAGCGGGACCCTCCAGCGGGACCCTCCAGTGGGACCCTCCAGCTGGACTCTCCAGCGGGACCCTCCAGTGGGACCCTCCAGCGGGACCCTCCAGCGGGACCCTCCAGCGGGACTCTCCAGTGGGACCCTCCAGCGGGACTCTCCAGTGGGACCCTCCAGCGGGACTCTCCAGCGGGACCCTCCAGCGGGAGTCTCCAGCGGGACTCTGCAGTGGGACCCTCCAGCGGGACCCTCCAGTGGGACCCTCCAGCGGGACTCTCCAGCGGGACTCTCCAACGGGACCCTCCAGCGGGACTCTCCAGTGGGACCCTCCAGCGGGACTCTCCAGTGGGACCCTCCAGCGGGACTCTCCAGTGGGACCCTCCAGCGGGACCCTCCAGTGGGACCCTCCAGCGGGACTCTCCAGCGGGACTCTCCAGTGGGACCCTCCAGCGGGACTCTCCAGTGGGACCCTCCAGCGGGACTCTCTGTGACTTTCCATGAACACCTGTGAACGTATATTATCTCAGACACATAAATAGTGAGTCTGCTTAAGTCAACGTTCATAGGTTCAGTGACCTTCAGATGTTAACCATTCATGATTATAATTTATTCTCATTATATATTTTCCTGCTTATCTATTTATTTACAATTATAATTTGATTATATTATTTACATTTTTATTTTTATTATATTATTTACATTTTTATTTTGATTATATTACATTTTTGTTCATAAATATATTTTTGTCAAGAGACAATGCTCATCATTGTAACTTATAACTCTTCGACATATATATATCACAAGGAGCATTTGTATAGGGTTTTACAAGTCCGTTTTGTCACCATTGATGAGGTAAGGTATTGTGATTATCAGGGGAAAGCGCCAAGCCATTGCGACAATATAGCACTGGGAAGGGGTCAGGATATGGATTTGGGATGGGACGGAGGGAAGGAATGGTGCCCAACCACTTGGACGGTCGGGGATTGAACGCCGACCTGCATGAAACGAGGCCGTCGCTCTACCGTCCATTTCAAGTGGCTTCATTATTGAAGAACTAACGTGAGAAAACTTAAATATTACAGTAATATGAGTCATTCCGCATATAGACACTACAACGGTGAACAGGTGCAGCCGTCTACGGTGAAGTACTTGCCCACGACTACTGTGAGAAGGCTGGTATAGTGCTGGGTTCAAGGCCTATCATCGAGGGAGGCCTATTTCCGACCTGTCAGCAAGCACACTATAGTCCTGAACATGGGGGGTCAGAACTATAGTACTATTCTCAGTGTATATTATCAGAGCCAGAAACATAAACATTATTCCTAACACATTATACAAGTCGTTACACAGAGAAGAGGTGTAGGTGTTCCTTAGTGAGTTAGTGCAGTGATCCCTGAGGTGAGCAGCAGGTCCAGAGGTGTAGGTGTTCCTTAGTGAGTTAGTGCAGTGATCCCTGAGGTGAGCAGCAGGTCCAGAGGTGTAGGTGTTCCTTAGTGAGTTAGTGCAGTGATCCCTGAGGTGAGCAGCAGGTCCAGAGGTGTAGGTGTTCCTTAGTGAGTTAGTGCAGTGATCCCTGAGGTGAGCAGCAGGTCCAGAGGTGTAGGTGTTCCTTAGTGAGTTAGTGCAGTGATGTCTGAGGTGAGCAGCAGGTCCAGAGGTGTAGGTGTTCCTTAGTGAGTTAGTGCAGTGATCCCTGAGGTGAGCAGCAGGTCCAGAGGTGTAGGTGTTCCTTAGTGAGTTAGTGCAGTGATCCCTGAGGTGAGCAGCAGGTCCAGAGGTGTAGGTGTTCCTTAGTGAGTTAGTGCAGTGATCTCTGAGGTGAGCAGCAGGTCCAGAGGTGTAGGTGTTCCTTAGTGAGTTAGTGCAGTGATCCCTGAGGTGAGCAGCAGGTCCAGAGGTGTAGGTGTTCCTTAGTGAGTTAGTGCAGTGATCTCTGAGGTGAGCAGCAGGTCCAGAGGTGTAGGTGTTCCTTAGTGAGTTAGTGCAGTGATCCCTGAGGTGAGCAGCAGGTCCAGAGGTGTAGGTGTTCCTTAGTGAGTTAGTGCAGTGATCCAGGTGAGCAGCAGGTCCAGAGGTGTAGGTGTTCCTTAGTGAGTTAGTGCAGTGATCTCTGAGGTGAGCAGCAGGTCCAGAGGTGTAGGTGTTCCTTAGTGAGTTAGTGCAGTGATCTCTGAGGTGAGCAGCAGGTCCAGAGGTGTAGGTGTTCCTTAGTGAGTTAGTGCAGTGATCCCTGAGGTGAGCAGCAGGTCCAGAGGTGTAGGTGTTCCTTAGTGAGTTAGTGCAGTGATCCCTGAGGTGAGCAGCAGGTCCAGAGGTGTAGGTGTTCCTTAGTGAGTTAGTGCAGTGATCTCTGAGGTGAGCAGCAGGTCCAGAGGTGTAGGTGTTCCTTAGTGAGTTAGTGCAGTGATCCCTGAGGTGAGCAGCAGGTCCAGAGGTGTAGGTGTTCCTTAGTGAGTTAGTGCAGTGATCCCTGAGGTGAGCAGCAGGTCCAGAGGTGTAGGTGTTCCTTAGTGAGTTAGTGCAGTGATCTCTGAGGTGAGCAGCAGGTCCAGAGGTGTAGGTGTTCCTTAGTGAGTTAGTGCAGTGATCTCTGAGGTGAGCAGCAGGTCCAGAGGTGTAGGTGTTGGTGGCCAAGGTCCTGGTTGACTGGCACTGGGTGGCCAAGGTCCTGGTTGGCACTGCGAAGGTACACTGGTACTGGGTGGCCAAGGTCCTGGTTGACTGGCACTGGGTGTCCAAGGTCCTGGTTGACTGGCACTGGGTGGCCAAGGTCCTGGTTGACTGGCACTAGTGGCCAAGGTACTGGTTGACTGGTACTGGGTGGCCAAGGTCCTGGTTGACTGGTACTGGGTGGCCAAGGTCCTGGTTGACTGGCACTGGGTGGCCAAGGTCCTGGTTGACTGGCACTGGGTGGCGAAGGTATTGGTTGACTGGTACTGGGTGGCCAAGGTCCTGGTTGACTGGCACTGGGTGTCCAAGGTACTGGTTGACTGGCACTGGGTGGCCAAGGTCCTGGTTGACTGACACTAGTGGCCAAGGTACTGGTTGACTGGTACTGGGTGGCCAAGGTCCTGGTTGACTGGCACTAGGTGTCCAAGGTCCTGGTTGACTGGCACTGGGTGGCCAAGGTACTGGTTGACTGGCACTGGGTGGCCAAGGTACTGGTTGACTGGCACTGGGTGGCCAAGGTACTGGTTGACTGGTACTGGGTGTCCAAGGTCCTGGTTGACTGGCACTAGGTGGCCAAGGTACTGGTTGACTGGCACTGGGTGGCCAAGGTACTGGTTGACTGGTACTGGGTGGCCAAGGTCCGGGTTGACTGGCACTGGGTGGCCAAGGTACTGGTTGACTGGTACTGGGTGGCCATGGTACTGGTTGACTGGTACTGGTACTGGGTGGCCAAGGTCCTGGTTGACTGGTACTGGGTGGCCATGGTACTTGACTGGTACTGGTACTGGGTGGCCAAGGTCCTGGTTGACTGGTACTGACACTGGGTGGCCAAGGTCCTTGTTTACTGGCACTGGGTGGCCAAGGTACTGGTTGACTGGCACTGGGTGGCCATGGTACTGGTTGACTGGCACTGGGTGGCCAAGGTCCTGGTTGACTGGCCCTGGGTGGCCAAGGTCCTGGTTTACTGGCACTGGATGGCCAAGGTCCTGGTTGACTGGCACTGGATGGCCAAGGTCCTGGTTGACTGGCACTGGGTGGCCAAGGTCCTGGTTGACTGGCACTAGTGGCCAAGGTACTGGTTGACTGGCATTGGGTGGCCAAGGTCCTGGTTGACTGGTACTGGGTGGCCATGGTACTGGTTGACTGGTACTGGTACTGGGTGGCCAAGGTCCTGGTTGACTGGTACTGACACTGGGTGGCCAAGGTACTGGTTGACTGGCACTGGGTGGCCAAGGTCCTTGTTGACTGGTACTGGGTGGCCATGGTACTGGTTGACTGGCACTGGGTGGCCAAGGTGCTGGTTGACTGGTACTGGGTGGCCAAGGTCCTTGTTGACTGGTACTGGGTGGCCATGGTACTGGTTGACAGGCACTGGGTGGCCAAGGTACTGGTTGACTGGCACTGGGTGGCCAAGGTACTGGTTGACTGACACTGGGTGGCCAAGGTCCTGGTTGACTGGCACTGGGTGGCCAAGGTCCTGGTTGACTGGTACTGGGTGGCCATGGTACTGGTTGACTGGCACTGGGTGGCCAAGGTCCTGGTTGACTGGCACTGGGTGGCCATGGTCCTGGTTAACTGATACTGGGTGGCCAAGGTCCTGGTTGACTGGCACTGGGTGGCCAAGGTCCTTGTTGACTGGCACTGGGTGGTCAAGGTACTGGTTGACTGGCACTAGTGGCCAAGGTCCTGCAAGGTCCTGGTTGACTGGTATTGGCACGGGGTGGCCAAGGTACTGGTTGACTGGCACTAGTGGCCAAGGTCCTGGTTGACTGGTACTGGCACGGGGTGGCCAAGGAACTGGTTGACTGGCACTAGTGGCCAAGGTCCTGGTTGACTGGCACTGGGTGGCCAAGGTACTGGTTGACTGACACAGGGTGGCCAAGGTACTGGTTGACTGACACTGGGTGTCTAAGGTCCTGGTTGACTGACACTGGGTGGCCAAGGTACTGGTTGACTGACACTGGGTGGCCAAGGTCCTGGTTGACTGGCACTGGGTGGCCAAGGTCCTGGTTGACTGGTACTGGGTGGCCAAGGTCCTGGTTGACTGACACTGGGTGGCCAAGGTACTGGTTGACTGACACTGGGTGGCCATGGTACTGGTTGACTGGTACTGGCACGGGGTGGCCAAGGTACTGGTTGACTGGCACTAGTGGCCAAGGTCCTGGTTGACTGGTACTGGCACGGGGTGGCCAAGGTACTGGTTGACTGGCACTAGTGGCCAAGGTCCTGGTTGACTGGCACTGGGTGGCCAAGGTCCTGGTTGACTGGTACTGGGTGGCCATGGTACTGGTTGACTGGCACTGGGTGGCCAAGGTCCTGGTTGACTGGCACTGGGTGGCCAAGGTCCTTGTTGACTGGCAATGGGTGGCCAAGGTCCTTGTTGACTGGTACTGGGTGGCCAAGGTCCTGGTTGACTGACACTGGGTGGCCAAGGTACTGGTTGACTGACACTGGGTGGCCAAGGTACTGGTTGACTGACACTGGGTGGCTAAGGTCCTGGTTGACTGACACTGGGTGACCAAGGTACTGGTTGACTGACACTGGGTGGCCAAGGTCCTGGTTGACTGGCACTGGGTGGCCAAGGTCCTTGTTGACTGGCAATGGGTGGCCAAGGTCCTTGTTGACTGGTACTGGGTGGCCAAGGTCCTGGTTGACTGACACTGGGTGGCCAAGGTACTGGTTGACTGACACTGGGTGGCCAAGGTACTGGTTGACTGACACTGGGTGGCTAAGGTCCTGGTTGACTGACACTGGGTGACCAAGGTACTGGTTGACTGACACTGGGTGGCCAAGGTCCTGGTTGACTGGCACTGGGTGGCCAAGGTCCTGGTTGACTGGTAC